GGAGTGTCCAAACCCAGAGGATTGTCTGGGGACCCCATAGCATTGGTACTCATTTTAGCCTGAGCATAATCTCAGAACATAGATGGAGGGATCCCTGACTTCTGTAGGGATCAGAAGATATTTTTGCCACTGATATGAAAGCCACTTGTCTGAGTTCAGATGAGTGAGTTTGATATGCATGAAGACACTGAGAGTGAGGACAGCTGGGTCAGCTCGGCCTGGGAGAAGGAACCTGAAAATGCAAACATTTACACTGTGGGAGCAGTTGTCAGGGTTAAGCTGTGGGTGGGTCTGAGCCAGAGGCTGACACAAGCTGGGAACTACCCCAGGCCTCTAGGCCTTGTCCCTACATGTGCAGGGAATGAGGAGGACAAGCATGAGAGGAGTCCAGGCCATGGTGGGCACAGCACCCTGTGGTCCAGGGGGATGGATTGAGCTTACTACTTGCTGTGGGCCTCAGCCAAGAGGAGCTGGTCATGCAGATGTGGCCCCACCTCTCCCTGAGCACTAAATAAGGTACATTTGCCACCCTGCAGGGATGCCAAAAATCCCACAACTGAATGTCATGGTTTTCCATCTCCCTCAAGATTTCCAGACTCTCTGCCCACACCTTCATAATTTAGTTCCTTATTTATATTTTCATCAAATTCTAATTATACCCAATATTTTCCCATGATCACTGATGAATATTGTCTAATTATAGTTAGATTGCAAACAAATTTATTTGGTAAATCAATCTCCTGTATCATCTACATTCCTTGAGAAGGAAATTGTTGCCCACATAAAGGCGAGGAGGCTCAGAATGTGCTATTAGCAATGATGCAGAAGATTTTTAGAGAAGTGAAAATACACCACACGGTACTGTAATGGTGGATATATGTCATTATATGTTTGCCAAAACCCATACAGATAGAATGTGCATCAACAAGAAAAATTCCTTAAGTAAACTACTGAAGTGTGGTGATAATGACCTGCCAATGTGGTTCATCAGTATATTTCTGGTGGGATCTGTTGATAAGGGGGAAGGCTAGACATGTGTGGAGCCAGGGGGATATGGGATATCTTTCCACCTTCCTCTCTGTTTTGCCATGAACTCAAAACTGGACCAAATTAATGGCCAACAAAACTGTGAAGAAATACTAATCATCACTAATCATCAGAGTAAATCAAAGCCACGATGAGATGCCATGCCATACCAGTCAGAATGGCTGAAATTAAAGTAAAAATACAACAGATGATGGTGAGGCTGTAAAGAAAACATGTACACAGCATTGGTGGAAATTTAAGTTATTTCCCCCATTGTGGAAAGCAGTTTGGAGACTTCCTAAAGAGCTTAAAACAGAGCTACCATTTGACCCAGCAATCCCACCTCAGGGTATCCAAAGAGAAATAGATCATTATACCAAAAGGACACATGCACTTGTATGTTCACCACCACACTATTCACAATACCAAAGATGTGGAATCAACCCGGGTGCCCATCAATGGTGAATTGGATAAAGAAAATACAATTCATATATACCATGGAATACTCTGCAGCCATAAAAAGGAATAAAACAATGTCCCTTGAAGTAACATGGATGGAGCAGGGGGACATAATCCTAGGCAAACAAACACAGGGACAGAAAGCCAAATACCACTTGTTCTCATTTTTAAGTGGGAGATAAACATGAGCACACATGGACATAAACATGAGAACAATAGACACCGGGCACTACTAGAAAGAGGAGGGAGAGGAGGGAATGTTGTAGAAAACTACCTGTTGGGTACAATGCTCACTACCCAGGTGCAATACACCCATATAACAAACCTGAATATGTACCTGCTATATCTAAAAGAAAAGTTGAAATTTAAATTAAAATTATGTATTAAGAACAATTTTAAAAGATAAAATTACATACCTCTACATCACACAATGTACCCTTGTAACAAACCTGAATCTAAAACAAACATTGGAATTTTAAAAATAAAACATAAAATATACACATTAATACAAAAGTTTAAAATAAAATGTTAACTAACTAATTTTGGAAGGCTGAGATGAGAGGATCACTGGAGTCCAGGAGTTCAAGACCAGCCTAGGCAATATGTTAAGACAAATAAAATTTGTTTTTAATTAGCAGGCATAGTGGCCCCCACTCCTAATTTCAGCTACTCAGGGGGTTGAGGTGGGAGGATGACTTGAGCCAGGAAATTTGAGGACCTAACTGATTTCAACACCAGATGTACACATTTGTACACCATTGTCAAGTAGGACTTATTCTTAAAACATTGGTTAGGTTCAATATTAATAAAGCTTTTGGTATTATACCATATTGTTATATCACAACAAAAGATCATATTACATCAATAGATTTTTAATGTCTAGCAAATTTTAACATCTACCCTTAATACAATTCAGGTAAGAATACAGAAACAGATAAATTTCTTTATGATATGGTAACACACATGTGTGTGCATGCATACACACAGATGCACACACAAACACATGCACACACACACATATATCTTGGCCCAGAGCCAGCATCTTACTGCATGGAGGACATTTTTCCTAAGACCAAAAAAAAAAATGCAAAAGTACCCCTTACCTCACTCATTACTCATCATTGCTCTGAAAATATTAGACAAGAAAATTATAAAATATATTAGTGGATAGGTGTCTGCCCCGATGGGAACAGTGGAATAGACAATGTGAAAGACCAAGTGCATTTCGTAGTCTTAGATCTTTGGGATCTTGTGCCAGAAATGGCAGCATAAATATCCCCAATGAGCCCATATTGGTCGCAGGTAGTGAAAGAGGAGCAAACCACTGGGTAAGAGAAGCAGAAGGGAGCACTTTTCACTAGGCCAAAAGGAACATTTCAGCTCTGAGGCTATTATCCTAGGTCTGAAGTGATGATCAGCCTCCTGCTCAGGGTGCAGCACAGTGAACAGACATCAACACCTTCAGAGTGCTTCATGATGGCAGCTGCTGGTGCCAGACTGCATCAAAGCTGCCCACATTTCTCAAGCTTCCCTTAGAGAAGAAGCGAGCTCTGTCAGGTGACCAAAGCACTGACAGAGGGTCTGGGGGCACAGCTCACTTGTGCCTTGTGAGCCAGAGTAAGAAGTGACATCTTGTGTGACCTCAGTGGCCCCTTCCCCTGAACCCCTTTTATAAAGGGGTTCCTTTATAAATGTCCCTTTTATAAAGAACTGAGGGAGAAAGACCCCAGGGTGTGATGGGGACACCTCAGAGCTCTGTCTCCAGAATCTCTACTGTGGGGAGGATGCCCACAAGCTGTTTGATATCCCCTGGCCAGGCTCTCCTAGGAGCAGAATCACTCCATCCATATACACCCTGGATTCTCACTGTGTATCAGCACTTCCTGAACTAGACTTAAGCAAAGACTTCAAAGAGATAAGGGGGAGATGCCTCAAATCTGAAGCAACAGAATGGGAAAGGCATACTCAAGAGGTGACAGGGTAGAGGGGCTTCACAGGCGGAGAAGAGCCACACATCAGTGAGGACACTGTTTAATCAACTTCCCCAGAGTCAGCTGAGTGGTTTACCAGCTGTCTACACACTAAATAACACAGTAAGTTTTCCAGGGATTACTACATGGAGAAGGATCCTCCATGTATCCATCATTGGAAGAGTGATTCTCTCATGCATGGATTTTTACCTTGATGGACAACTATCCTTAAAACAGCTATATATGTTTTTTTCTTTTTTTAAAATGTCAAAATCTTTGTCAAATGGGCTCATTGGGGATATTTATGCTGCCATTTCTGGCACAAGATCCCAAAGCTCCAACTTCACCTGCTCTGTCCACACACTGCCCAGGGCTGTTAGAGGACGGTGATGAGGAAAAGAAAAACACATGTGGGGACACTGTCTTGTGTGTGTGTTCTGTTGAGGGTGCACAGTTATGTGGGGCCCAGGAGGCTTCAACTAACTGTGGTGGACAAGTTTGGATCTGGAGGAGGAGTCTAGGGATCCCCATGACAGAGTGGAAGGGGATTCTAATGAGAAGGCAGGGCACAAGCCCAGGGCACGGAAGGGAAGGGCTGCTGGAGACCCTGCTGAATGTACTCTCATGACCAGAGAGCTGGACACTCACTACATTGATCCCAGTACATTCAAATGGAATGGATAAGAAAATTCTGGAATAATAAATATTTCCTTAGTTAATATAGTGTTTCATTTTTACCAATTACTAGTGCTTATGTATGCTCATGCACTAGTAATTATACACACACACACACACACACACACACACACGCATTAATATACAAACAATGATGTTGCTACACACATTTGGTAATAATGCAGGCTTGCTAATTTCACTTCATGTTTCCATGTTTCCTTCTTTCTTTCTTTCCTTCTTTCCTTTTTTTTTTTTTTTTTTTTTTTGTGATGGAGTCTCACTTTGTCACTATGTCACCCAGGCTGGAGTGCAGTGATGCGATCTCAGCTCACTACAATCTCCACATTCTGGGTTCAAACAATTCTCTTGCCTCAGCCTCCCAAGTAGCTGGGACTACAGGTGTGTACCACCACACATAGCAATTTTTTTGTATTATTGGTTAAGATGGACTTCTATCATGTTAGCCAGGATGTTCTCACTCTCCTGACCTCAGTATTCACCTGTCTTAGCCTCCCAAAGTGCTGGGATTACAGGTGTAAGCCACCATGCCCAGCCTCATGTTTCTAGTTTCAACAGTCTTAAATGGTGTACACATTTGTGAATGCATTCCTTGTGTTTTGGGGGATCCAGTTTAAACAGTGCCCTCTGAGAATCCCACAAGCTTAGTGAGGCTGGGAAAGCTCTTTTTTTATCTCATTTCCCCACTGGCCTGAGGCAGTGTTAGCACTGAGTCTGCTGTCCCATTCTGAACGTACTCATGCTGGAGCCCAGCAATGATCAGAGAGGCTGTGTTTCCTGACCTGGATGCAGAGAATCTCTCTGAGATCACTGAGGGCCAGTTGTTACTTCTTGGGATAGGAGTTTGAGAGCATGACTCTGGTGCTGCTACAGCCAAGCCGCTCCCTTGTTGCCAACATTGTTGCTGTTCCCAGTGTAGGTGAGTGTGGCCATCTGTCTCAAACCTTTGGACACTGAGGATGACTGAGTCAGCCGTGCTTGGACCACTGACTCTGCAAGGGGTACAGAGAAGAATGTAAGAGCAGGATCAGAATCATTATTATTTCATTAATTGGCCAGCTTGTGGGCGGTGTTTTTCAGGGGGGTTGAAGGGGCAGCCGCCTGATGTCTGAACAGCTTCTCTTTCTGTCTGTGCTTACCTGGACTCTGGGTTGCTGTTGGCTGCTTCTCCCAGTTCTGAGTTTTCAAGGGGAGAGGGACAAAGTGATGGTCATCCTTTGAGGGAAAGGAAAGAATGTCTCCTGCTTAACATGCTTCTGTGTTTCCAGTTACTTACTTAGAGCCAGGGTCTCACTCTGTTGCCCAGGCTGGAGTGCAATGACACAATCATGGCTCATAGCAGCCTTCATTTTCCAGGCTCCAGCTATGCTCCCACCTCAACCTTCCCAGTAACCTGGACTACAGGCACATGCCACCATGCTTGGCTAATTTTTTGATAATTTTTTTTTGCAGAGGCAAGGTGTTGGAAATAGATGTTCAGTGCCACAAGGAAAAATCAGCACTGAGACAAAGGATCTTTCAGCAAAGCAATTTTTACTTCCTGGACTGCAGGAAGGGTTTTCTCATTAGTGATCATTCCATGAGAGCACACCAAAGGAAAATACATAAATTTAGCCCATACGCATCTGGGGTTGTGCTTGCTGCTGTGTCTGATATCCATTGGCTGGAGGCTTACCCCACAATCTAAACTAAAACCCAATTGGCTAACAACTTAAAACTTTTCTAAACAGGTAAAAGCAATGGAGAGCTGGGACATGCCTGTGAGCATGTCCAGCAGAGATACCTTGGATAAGGTACAAGGACATAGAATAAACTACATGCCTGTAAGCATTGCATGCCAAACAGCTACATAGGCTAGGGCTTAACAAAGTTATTAGCAAACATGTTCTTTAACAAGAAAGGAAAGTTTAAAAAGGAACTTTTCTACTTCCCACATTTTGTTTTGTTTTTAAGACAGAGTTTCACTCTTATTGCTCAGGCTGGAGTGCAGTGGCACAATCTCGGCTCACTGCAACCTCCACCTCCCGGGTTTAAGCAATTCTCCTTCCTCAGCCTGCCGAGTAGCTGGGATTATAGGTCCCTGCCACCACACCTGGCTAAGTTTTTGTGTCTTCCAAAGAGATGGAATTTCACCATGTGAGCCAGGCTGATTTTGACCAGCTAGCCTCAGGCAATCCATTCATTTGGGCCTCCCAAAATGCTGGGATTACTGGCGTGAGCCAACACATCCAGCCACTTTGTTGTTAATATTCACCCTGAACTGATTTATGACATCAATTCTTACTTGCGTTAGTTGAAGTATTTAGAAATGTAGGTCCAGGAAGTTGGAGGATCAGCATCTGAGTAAGTAGTCATGTTTCCTGGTCTAAAGCAAGGGGAGGCTGGACACCATGGCTCATTCTTGTAATCCCAGCACTTAGGGAGGCCAATGCAGGTAGATCACTTAAGGTCAGGAGTTTGAGACCAGCCTGGCAAAGATGGTGAAACCCCCCACCCAACTCTAGTGCTCATCTCTGCTGCAGTTTGTAGATTGCTGTATCTGGAGCCAGTTCCAGCCCTGCAGCCAGCACATCTGCGAAACTGGCTCCCCAGTAACAACTGACTTGGAACAGTTGATATGCTCAGCTCCCTCCTGTGTTTAATCCAAACCAGCTCAGGAACATTCTTGCTGCCTTGCTTGGAAGCAGCAGACTGGCTCCAGGAACTGCCTGAGTACAGGGTTTCTGCCCTTGCTTGGAATTTGTCATGGTCCCAGGTTTCTGTTGAATGGTGGTAACCCCTGCACCATTGTTTTGAGTCAGTTGCCAGGAGAAGCCCGTTTGCTGGTTTGAGAGCAGTTCTTACAGACCAAGGCCACTTTCTTGGAGAATTTATTTGCTTCTCCAGGATGGAATCCAGCTGGGCCCCTGACCTTGCTGGTCATGTGGGCCGGGGCCTCCATCAGTCACATCCTGGACACCTTTGTGTGTCTAAACAGCACTTCCCACCCACAACTGTACAGCAGCAACTTGCATGGCACTCTGGGAGGGCTCTGGGCATGAGCAGCGAGAACTCCATTAGCAGCTCCCCAAAATAAGACTGCTAATGAGGGTAGATTGAGAAGCAGCTTTGATGTGCTCCTAAATCCAGTTGCGAAACCGAACTAAAGTTAAGGCCTCAGCACAGCACTGTCTTCTAACTTTGAAGTATTCTTACTCTAGTGTCCAGTGTGGCGGTACTGGAATTGTTCATTGCAAAAACTCAAGAGGAGAAAAGCACTTAGCATCACAGTACTCGGAACTCTGGTGCTGAGGCAACCCTTCATTCATTCATGCAATGTTTATTAAGGCCAGCAGCAGGGATCAGGGGTCAGAGATTCTCCTCTCACATAGCACATGGATGGCAAGACCAACATCAGTTGTGATGTCCCAGCTTGGAGCACAGGCTGCTAACCCCAGGCCTGGAATCTTTCAGATGCCCTTCCTATGCTAACTTTATTAGACAGGCATCCTGGCCCTCCCCCAAAGACTATGTGTGACTCGCCAGGGATCTGACAGCTTCAGCCTCTTAGGAAGGTCCTGAGGAAGTACACACAATAGGGACTGAGCTGGCAGAGGGAGGAAAGTCATGCACAAGGCTCTGTGCAGCCCCAGACCTGGGCGCCTTCGTGACCATCCTCACCCCAGCTCCGAAGTGGGGAGACAGGGGGCAGGTCTCCTGTGTTGCAGCCCAAGCGGGGCTGCCAGGGCACTGAGAACACGCCCTCCTCCCGCAGGAAAGAGAGGTCCAAAGTGCCCTACGTCATGCGTCAGTGTGTGGAGGAGATTGAGCACCAAGGCATGGAGGAGGTGGGCATCTATCGCGTGTCCAGAGTGGCCATGGACATCCAGGCATGGAAGGCAGCCTTCAACGTCAATGAGTGTCAGCCTGGGCAGGACGAGAGAGGGTGTGGATGGCAGTGTCTGTGATGAGGTCTCACAGTGCTCCCTGGCCCAACATGTCACATCCTTCTCTGTCTTTTCTTCATTAACTGTTCTATGATTTTTAAGAAAGAGAAGACAAGAGTTGTAAAAAGAGCTTCTGTAGAAGCCAGTGTTTTGTTGTTGTGTGTTTTTGTTTTTGATTTTTTGAGATGGAGTCTCACTCTGTGGCCCAGGCTGGAGTGCAGTGGTGTGATCTTGCCTCACTGCAGCCTCCACTTCCCAGATTCAAGTGATTCTCCTGCCTCAGCCTCCCAGGTTGCTAGGAATACAGGGGCGCCACCAAGGCTGGCTAATTTTTGTATTTTTAGTAGAGATGGGCTTTCACCATGTTGGTCAGGCTGGTCTTGAACTCCTGACCTCTTGATCTACCCACCTCAGCCTCCCAAAGTGCTGGGATTACAGAGGTAAGCCACCACACCTGGCCTGTAAAAGTCAGTTTTTAAACCATTCCACCCACCCATGATGCTTGAACGTTGACTAGAAGTTTCTGCAGGGCCTTGGCCTTCCTGCTATGGAGGTGGGCAGGAATTGCAGAGGCCAGGACTCAATGTGGTCTGTCCACTGCCCTGTGTGAGAATGTGGCAGGCAGAGGAGACTGATGGACCCAGCTCAGGCTGGGGCTGCAGCATCTCCGCCTCCATCTCACCAACCCTCACAGGCTATGAAGGATCTGGACATGCCCCACCTGCCAGGGGAGGGCACTGAGACCCCAGAGCGTCCTTACCCAGCATTGTCACAAAAACAGGACTTTGTGCCTGCAGACCCTTCTCTGGGGCACACAACACCCACCCTTACCAGGACCTCAAGAATGCCTGGCACCCCTGGGTGGGCCCTGGGGTAGTTTCAGCTCCCTCTGGGGTTCCAGAATGAACCTGGACTGTTGTGGGGAGGTAAGCTCCAGTGGCTAACTGGGTCCAAAAATGAGACACCAGTTCAAACACTGAAACCCATCAGATTTTCCCACAGCCTTCCTGCTATCAGAAGACACTGGTACAGGGGTGGTTGCTCTACAGGGCAGAGTTCCTGATTCCCACACAGGCTCTGTGTCCTGTGGCAATGGCCTCCTCCTGGCTTTCACATCAGGCCAAGCAGGGGAGAGGTACAGAGATGAAGATGGCCTTGCATGAACGCTGCACAGACAGAACCAGGCACAGCTCTTGGAAGGAGTAAGATGAACTGCTCACAGCTGGGGAGGGTCCCGCACAGTGGTCAGCGATGCAGGCACAATGCATTAGCCAAGGCAGGGATGGTGGGAGACTCACTTGGTTTCCTCAAGGAGGCTGTGGCACTTCCATTCTCTTTCCAGATAACAAGGATGTGTTGGTGATAATGAGTGAGGTGGACATGAATGCCATTGCAGGCATACTGAAGCTGTACTTCCATGAGCTGCCTGAGCCTCTCTTCACTGGCAAGTTCTACCCCAAGTTTGCTGAGGTCATCTGTAAGCAATGGAGGCCTTGGCATCCTGGGAGAAGTCTCTGCCATGTCCACTGCTGCCCTTCGGGGCTGAGAAAAGTGAAGCGTGGGAACCCAAGCTGTGCCACCTCTGCCATGGTCAGGGTTTTAACCAACTGAGAAATCAGGGGCCAGAAATGAGCCTGTCCTGAAGGCCTCGCCCATCCCCAGAGGGCTTCCCATCACTATTCCTCCAGGAGACCAATCCGATGAAATGGTCAGCACTGCTGTGCTGTGGGGTCCTAAAGTCTGCTATCCTCCTTCATGCAGACTAAGGCTGAATGAGGGCACCCAGGTGCTGTAGCCACAGGTCCTGGGCCAGTCAAGCATGGGTTCAATCCTGGCATGACCCTTAGTCAACCTGGAGGCTGATGTCTAAAGCAGGGCACTGGTGCTTGCAGCTCCTGTAGCCTCCACATCACCCTTAGGGAAGGTCTGCCTCCCAGGCCCATGCACAGAGGACCTGCCCTCCCAGCCTGCAGGTGCCCCTGTGGTGTCCAGGGTGATGAGGGGGTCTCTGCTAACTTGGTGGGACTGGGGCTCTCCCACCTCCCACCTCTCACCTTCTGTGTCCCTCTCTTGCATTTCATTCCATGCTGAGCCTCCCCTACCCTGGGCTTACTGGGGAGGATGTGGCACAGGAGTTTCCCAAGTGTGGCTGTGCCCATGAGCGGCTGCTCTCACACCACCTCCTGCTGCTGTTCTCCAGGTGCTGCTGTGAGGTAGAGAAAATTCCTCCAAGTGGCTCACACCCCACAAAGGCGCCCTTCACAGGGTCCTCACTGGCAACCAGCACTGTGCAAGTGAAGATGAGGGGCCTGGACTGCTCAGGGACACGAGTCCCAGGTCCTCCATGTGACCACCTCAGGAGAGGGCTCTGGCTCATTGTGACCCCAAGGAGTGACCCATCAACTTCTGCAGGTCCTTCAGACCCAGTTACAAAGGAGACCTGCATGCTTAACCTGCTGCTGTGCCTGCCAAAGGCCAACCTGCTCAGCTTCCTTTTCCTTCTGGACCTCCTAAAAGGTAGCCCAGCTTTCTTGTGGCTGCCCAGGACTCCAGGCTGCCCCTGCTTGTGGGGAACACTCCCGTGTGAGACCCCTAAAAGGCGTGAGTCTCACTATACGGTGAGTTTGATCCCAAACACAGTTTCCTACTGGAGGCAGTCGAGCTATCCGGAATATAGGAACTGAAAGATGAATGATCAGTTTCTAATATCAACCACAATATCGTTTGGGCCTAAAACTATGCATTGCTGCTAGACCGAGTGATCCCCTACCAGCAACCAGTTCCTGCTTTTAACCTTTTTATGACTTTAAGAATAACCCTTAAACCTTACTTACCAGACTGCCTTGCACCCTAGATAATGGTTTAACTGTTGATATTTACAAAGCAAATGCCACCATAAGGGATGGCTTTGATTCCTGACTCAGAGATTCCTGAATGGGGAAATTGAGTTAAGTTGAGTTAGGAGTAGACAAAGGAGAATCCGGTTAAGAGATATTCTGATGAGCAAAACCAGAAAACCTTTTCACATCTCAGTTCTAAAACAAGATCAAACCGGAGATACCTGCAGCCAGGAGGAATAATGTCTGGATGCAAACAAGCTTTGTGATTACAGGAAATTCTGTTACTTTTTACAACCACTGATTGTGTATCTGACTTTTCAATTGTATAGGCCATGTAAGGTATACATTTGCATTTCCTCTTGCAACCATTGTGTATCTGATTTCTCTATTGTATAGGCCATGTGAGGCATACATTTACATTCCTCTTGCTATGACGTAAACCAGAGCCAAGAAAGTGTATTTATTCCTGGCATTTGAAAAATAAAATTTGCTGTTTAGGCACAGCCTATCAGCCCTCCAGACGCCTCGCTTTCTCTCTCTCTGTCTTTATTATTTTCTCAGGCGCACTCCCTCTTCCAGGTATTGGGACCCTCTTGCAGGTCAAGAGACCCCCGGGCAGACGTGCCTACCCGTCCGGACGGTCCACGACACCTGCTCCCATCAGACCCTCAGCATCGAGGACCTTTTCTCATGACCCCTGCCTACAGTCCCTCACTGCCTCTGGGACTAGTGCCACTTCTGCCCCTGTCCCAACCTCTCCTGTTTGCCATCCTCCTCCTTCTGCACTGTGACCTTAACAAAGAGCTCAGAGCTTTCGCCAAGGCCACCAGTGCACTTGGACCCCCAAATTCCCTCCTACCCAGATCATGAAGAGACCTCCCAACCAGCCCAGAGCTGGACCATTGTCCTGGGCCACTGAGACCCAGAAGTACCAAGGCTGGAGTCAGGTTGCAGCACAGCCAGGGTCAAGGTCGCTCCCTCCCTGAGGACTCCAGCATGGCCCAGCCCCTCCATCTCTCTCCTGGTGGTGGTGTTGAAACAGTGCCCTCTGCTTCGGTCCTCAACAGTGTGGCAGAGAAAGAGGCAATCAATAAGATGTCCCTGCACAACCTCACCATTGTCTTTGGTCTCATGCTGCTCTGGCCCTGGGAGGAGAGCAAGCTCCCTGCCAAGCCCAGCCAGCCCATCACCATGACAGCTGGTCCTTGGAGGTCATGTCCCAGGTACGGGAAGACAGGCTCCAGCCCATGCCACCCCACCCTGACAGAGGTGGCCTCTGCCTGCACTGCCCCCAATCCTGCCCATCCTCCGACTTCCATTGTATGTGTTGGTGGTTGAGATTCAGAGCGAGAAACTTGCCTAGGTCTGCATGAATGGGAGTGTTTGGGGATGCACAGGCCACCTCCTGGTCCTGCTCGTCCACTGCACTCGAGACTTAAAACCACCCCGAGTGTTCAGACGTGGTGGCTCATGCCTGTAATCCTAGCAGTTTGGGAGGCCGAGGCAGGATAACAGAACCCAGGTGTTTGAGAGCATTCTGGGTAATGTAGCAAACTCCATCTCTAGAAAAAATAGAAAAATTAGCCAGGCATTGTGGCACATACCTCTCGTCACAGCTACTGGGAAGGCTGACACAGGAGGATCGCTTGAGCTGCCCAGAAGTTAGAGGCTGTAGTGATCCATGATGGAGCCACTGTCCTCCAGATTGGGTGACAGAGCAAGGCTCTGTGCAGCTCTGAATTAAATGAGAACCCCTCTCTAAGTCATGCCTTGTCAGGACCCCACCCCATCCCCATCTCACTGTAAGGGGTTCATGGCAGAAGCAGGGGCCCTAGCACCTGAGCTGGACTTAGGGGCTTGGGCCCCAAAGACCTCCACACCAGCAGCTGTGAGCACCCCTCTGAGCTGCTCCCCTCTCCCCCACTCTGCCCGGGCAGGTCCAGGTGCTGCTGTACTTCCTCCAGCTGGAGGCCGTCCCTGCCCCAGACATCAAGAGACAGAGCATCCTGTTCTCCACTGAAGTCTAAAGACCCCCGTCCATCTCCGGGAGGTGGACAGACAGCCTGGAAACTCTGGCTAATTGGGCCATTTGTAGAGCAGAAATTAAACCTTCCTGAGGTGTCTTGGGCCACTCCCAGGCATCGGGCCACCTGCCAAGAGACAGCGACCCAAAACAGAAGGACGGCTGACCTGGGGAGATCTTGGCCAGGTCTGGGAGCCCCAGACAGGCCTCAGACTGTGGCTTTCCACACGGCCACCCGAAGGCGCCCCAAGCCAGTGCATCTCAGAGTCCAGGCCTGGCCCTGGGGGACAGGGTGAAGGGAGTGGTTTTTATGAACTTATCAGAGTTTAAAAGATTTCTACTGGATCACGTGTCATTTCTACTGGATGTGCCCTCTCCAGGGAGAAAGGAGCATGGCCGGATTCCCTCACTGTTGTATCTTGAATAAACACTGCGGCTTCATCCTGTGGGGCCATGGCACTGTCCCTGTGTGGGTGGGGCCTCTTCCATTTCCCTGACTAGAAACCACACTCCATTTAGATCAGGGGTTTGAGAGGCTAAGGCAGCACTGGGTAGCGTTATGACTCCATTCAGGGCTTTCTTCTTTTTTTTTTTTTCCCAGAAGGAATTTTTTGAAGAAATGGGTTTTTTGTTGCCGTGTTTGTCCTCCTTGGATGGCTGCTCCAGGAGGCCTGTGAAATGTCTGGGGATCCTACCCCTAGGAAGGGAAAGGGAGTCCCAGGCTATGTAATTTAGGCTTCATTCTCCAGAGAGTGGGACCTCGTCCCCCAATCCTGATTGCCCGCCTGGCGAACGCCCTCCTGTTTGGCTTCTGCAGACCGGAACTTCCCTGGCTTCTCTCTGCCCACACACTCCCTGCCCAGCACAGGTGGCTTCATTCCCGTTCTCTCAGCTCAGAGGATTCGCTCAACTTTTCTAAAAGTCTCCAGTAGGTGGCAGCAGCTTGCTGACTTGTTTTAAAACTTTTGATCTGAAATAGCATTTTGATACTTGGATATTTTTAAGTTTTATATGTAGTTTCTATTTTTTTCCTAACAGATTCAGATACCTAATAAGATGCTAGAATGTATTCTATGGACAATCTGTGTCCGGGCAGTATTTTGTCTTCCTCTAAATGCCTGGCTCTGCTGCTCTTGGGAGTGGGTTCTGAAATCTCTGGAGAACAGGATATGCCAAGAGTTAAGAAGGGGCCAGGCCTAGGAATGGGAGTCTCCCTCCCAGAGCAGGCAGAGGCACAGGACCACCCGCCATCCCCACCAGCACCCATGTGGGACCCCAGGCATTCTTTGTAACCCCACATGGCCATCTTGCTAAAAGAAAACAGAAGCAAGGAGGCTGCCACCTGTTTTCAAGAAATATACCCATAAGCATATTGCCTCACTTTTTCGGAAAGAGGGGTTTAGGGCAGGGAAGGAGGAGAAGGAAGACGAAACTCAGGGCTGAATTTCCAGAAAATCCTGCAGGAGAAGCGGATGCATCTGCCCAGAGGAGGGAAACAGGATCACACTCAGAAAAATGTGTGGAGTCCTGGGTTGACACCAGCACCCAGCGCAGCTCTGTCCGGTGACCACTCCCAAGGTGGGAGGAGTGGGTGTCCTCTGCATGTGGATGGGCAGCTCCTGCTGAGCCTGCAGCACCTCAGGGAGCCTGACAGCAGGATGGTGTGCCTCACACTTTTCTCTGCTTGTAGACCTGGCGAGGCAGGGAGCAGAAAACAGCCATAGGAAGGTTTTCTGTCTGCATCTGTGTGTGGTGTGGATTTAGGTATGCTTTTTTCTTCCTGGAAGGGCACAGCTGCCATTTGCAAGAAGAGTTGCCCTGGTGGGTGGGGAGGACAGAACAGAATACTCTGCCTTCTGTACCCTTCTGGACCCGGTGGGCTCCCCTGTCCTGGCTTCCATCTCTGTCTGTCTCCAAGACCCTCTAGCCCTGCAAGGGAACGCATGTGACTTAGAAAAGCCAAATCCAGCCCTGGTCTCTGTCTCCTCTGGTCTCATGATGTGCATATGCTGTCTTGAAACTGGAAAGCAATCTATCGTTGTCTGTGCCAATTTTTGTTTTTTCCTCCACCTGCATCCTGTTGCAACTTTTATTTATGTATGATGTGTGCTGTCTAATGATGGGATGACCACACTTTCCATGTTCTAAAAGGGATCCTCTCCCACGGGGCTCCAGGGATGATGATGGCTTTAGGTCTGGAGCTGCATCTCACTTACCCGCCTACTGGCTAAAAAGCCTGTGCAGAGGCAAAGCTGGTATAGGACTGGGAAAGGCTGCATTCTCCAGGACAAGGACACTGCTCTCCGCCTCCAATGCAGGCAAAAAACTGGACACCAGTGTGATCTCCCACAAGGCATGGCTACTGGACTCCCTGACCAGAAGTGATGCTTCTTTGCATCAGACCCTGGTTTTGAAGCAGCCTGGCTTTCTCTCTGTAAGTGGCTGGTGTCTTTTCAGCAGCAATCTGAGCTCGGTCACCTACACAGCACCATGGGAGAAAGAATTGCAGACCCTTTCATTAAAGTTCTCTGACATGACTTGTGTGCATTTTGATTTCATCATCAGTGCTGTTGGGTGGAACCCCTGAGCCAGTGGGGTGGGGCTGAAAGCAGCAGGTGCAGTGATGGGCCGGGTGCCCAGGAGGTCTCAGTGCTCAATCAGGCCAAGGTGGCCAAGCACAGGCCACAAGGAAGGCAGACCTGGGGGTGTGGGAGAGCACAGGCAGGTGCCGGCTGGGCAGCATTAGGACACTGGAACAGCAGCAGTAACTCCACTGAGTCAGGCAGTCTGACTAGGGCAGGGACCACTGTTGTTTTGCTGGAGAGAGAAAATCCCCCCTTGGGAGAGGCTGTTCTGCCCCTGCAGATGGATCTGGGACAGATGGCTGCAGGATGACCCAGTTGGTGCTCCTTTGCTGTGCTGGGCCCTGGAACAGGGAGGACTCCTGCCACACACAGCCTGGGCCCAGGTTCTTACCTGTCGTCACCACTCTGGCACAAGCCCCTCGGTCTTGGGTGGTTTCTGCTTGGTCCAGGGTTTGGTGTTGCTGCTGAGTCCAGCCTTTCCACCACCTGTGCATGGGGCCTGGGTATTCTCATCTGCCTACCGCTTTGCCCTCAGAAGCCTGCCCAGCTTACAGGAGAGCTGCCATGGACTGGAGATAGGCATGCACCCTGCATCCTACTTTGGTGAATGCAGCTTGAGGAGACCCAGCCACATCCACTGGGCGACAGGTTACCCTTGGCAGTGCCCATATCAGCTTTCAGCCTGAGCCTGCCACAGGAGAGCAAGACTCACATGGCAAAGCCTGCCAGGGGCCAGTGAGGTTGATGAGCCCAGCCAAGACCTTTCTCAGACTCCCAGGAGGTGGCTCTGTTCCTGAGCTGTCTGGTCAGCTCTAGGGGTGAGAAGGGCTTGTCACATGGGCCCCTGCCTACAGTGTGACCCTTCTCAGCTTCTCTCAACAGCCTATTTATTGAGTGTCACCAACACCAGGGAGCATGACCATTCACTTCTCCCCAAATATGAGTTCATTCCACGTTGAAGACTTCCTCATCCAATCTCTCTACTTGATAGCTGGGGAAACCAAGGCACACAGAGCACCCCCAGCTCACTCGGGGTCTCAGAGCTGACCCATGAGCAGAGGCTGAGATCCTGGAATCTTGTTCTCCAGCCTCCCCGCAAGCTCACTCCCTTTCTGCTGGACGAGATGGGGCCAGACTTTGACCAGCAGCCCTGACCTATACATGACTGCGCTCATGCAGGCACTCAGACTGAGATATCCCAGCAGCATGTATTTTACCCATTTTTTTTTTTTTTTTTTTTAGAGATGGAGTCTCACTCTGTCACCCAGGCTCTAGTGCAGTGACACAACCTTGGCTCACTGCAACCTCTGCCTACCGGGTTAAACTGATTCTCCTGCCTCAGCCTTCAAGTAGCTGAGACTACAGGCTTGCACCACCACGCCAGGCTAATTTTTGTATTTTTGATAGAGACATGGTTTTCTTACATTGCCCAGGGTGGTATCAAACTCCAGACCTCAGGTGATCTTCCTGCCCTGGCCTCCCAAAGTGAAGGGATTACAGGCATGAGCCACCACATCATTTAAACCTAGTGAGAGACTGGGAGCAGTGACTCACACCTGTAATCTTAGTACTTTGAGAGGACAAGGCAGACAGATCATCTGAGGTCAGGAGTTCGAGACCAGCCTGGCCAATATCGTGAAACCCCATCCCTATAAAAAAAAATTTAAAAAACTGTCCCTGCATGGTGTCACACTTGTAGTCCCAGTTACTTGGGAGGCTGAAGCATGAGAATCACTTGAACCCTAGAGGCAGAGACTGCAGTGAGTTGAAATGGTGCCACTGCACTCCAGCCTAGGCAACAGAGGGAGACCCTGTCTCTAAATAAATAAACAAATGGAGCCATGCATAGTGGCTCACCCATAGAATCCCAACACTTTGGGAGGCCAAGGAGGGTGGATCACAAGGTTAGGAGTTCAAGACCAGCCTGGCCAAGATGGTGAAACCCCGTCTCTACTAAAAATACAAAAATTGGCCACATGCAGTGGCAGGTGCCCATAACCCCAGCTGCTCAGGATGCTGAGGCAGGAGAATTGTTTGATCCGAGGAGGCAGACATTGCAGTGAGTTGAGAATGCATCACTGCACTCTAGCCTGGCCCACCGAGCAAGACTCCCTATCAAATTAATTTAATTAATTAATGTACACCTGTAATCCCAGCACTTTGGGAGGCTGAGGCAAATATATCACCTGAGGTCAGGAGTTCGAAACCAACCTGACCAATATAACAAACCAGGTCTCTACTGAAAACACAAAAATTAGCTGGGCATTGTGGTATGTACCTATAGTCCCAGCTACTCGGGAGGCTGAGACAGGAGAATAAATTGAACCCAGGAGCGGAGGTTGCAGTGAGCCGAGATCCCACCACTACACTTTTTACTGGATTACAGAGTGAGACTCTGTCTCAAAAAATACATAAACAA